CTATCAAACGGTAAAGCAGCGAATTGCCTGTCGACGGAAGCCGCGAGCGTGTAAAGGAGCGTCGTAAACGCGTCTGAGCGAAGCCGTAATTTTTTTCTCTCCTCGCGTTAAACGGCGTCTCGCTCCGGCGACCGTTCGGGAAAATTTGCCGCGACGCTCGCCGCTGAGTCTCTTCGTTTTCTCGATTCTGCAGAACCAGTTCATCGAGAAGAACAACGACGCGCTGCACGCCTCGTTGGAGGGGCTTATTCAGGAGAGCAGCAATAAATTCCTCAGGACGCAGTTCGCCAATTACTCCTCTCAAAAGGGCAAGCTGAACTTCATCAGCGTCGGCAGTAAATTCAAGACGCAGCTCGGCGAGCTAATGGACAAGCTGAAGAGTAATGTGAGGACGCTCCTCCTTTCCCGACGCTGCGCGGGCTGTTTTCATGTTTTACAAATCTTCCGCCTGTTTATCTTATGTGCTTCTCGTTGAGCGCTTAGCTTGATTTCTTCTTCTTCCTCTTCTTTCAGGGAACAAATTTCATAAGGTGCATCAAGCCGAACAATGACATGGTGGCTCATCAGTTTGACGGCAACAGCATTATGAGCCAGCTGCGTTGCTCGGGGATGACTTCGGTTCTGGAGCTGATGGAGCACGGCTACCCCAGCCGGGTACCTTTCCACGAGCTCTACAACATGTACAAGTCTTACCTGCCGCCGGAACTCGCCAGACTGGATCCCCGATTCTTCTGCGAGGCGCTGCTCCACAGCCTAAAGCTGAACAAGAAAGACTTCAAGTTCGGCATCACCAGGGTCTTCTTCAAGCCGGGCAAATTCGCGGAATTCGACAGAATCATGAAATCCGACCCCGAGAATCTGCGCAAGCTGGTTGCCGATGTGAAGAAGTGGCTGCTGAGATCACGATGGAACAAGATGCAGTTCTGCGCACTGTCGGTGATCAAGCTGAAGAATAAAATCATCTATCGCCGGGAGCACCTGATCGTCATGCAGAAGACGGTGAGGATGTACTTCGAGAAGAAGAGGCACCGGCCAAGGATTCGCGGCATGATGAAGATCAAGAATCTGAAGAAGCAGCTGATACGGATTGAGGAGGTCGCGAACCAGTTGAAGAATCAGGAGAAGTCGTCGCGGGACATGAAGAGGCTCGAGAACGACTTGGAGATGGCGATGGAGAAGATCAAGCGCAACCCGAGGATCACCCCGGCGGAGATTGACGATCTTTACACGTCCCTGGTGAATCAGGTGAACAAGCAGATGGCCGATCTGCAAGAGATGGTGAAGCAGGAGAAAGTCGCCGAGGAGCAGGCGAGACTGAGGAAGATTCAGCAGGAGCTTGAGCTGGAGGGCAAGCGCAAGGAGGAAGAGGAACATAAGAAGAAGGAGGACGAGGAGCATAGGAAGAAGAAGCTGGAGATGGAAGCCAGGAGGAAGATCGAAGAGGAGCAGAGGAGGAAGCAGGAGGAAGAAGACCAGAAGACCGCGGCTGCTCTTCAGGTTTGTCAAGTTTCTCGCGTTTTCTTCTCTTCACTCTTCCCTCTCGGCTTGTACGCGCAGTCGAACTCTTGTCGATCTATTTGTCCTTCAAAGGCCCAACTGGAGAAAGAGGCTATGGAGGAGACTCGGTACCGGGAATTGCTCGAGCAGGAAAGAAGAGACCACGAGTTGGCGGTCAGACTCGCTCAAGAATCGAACGGACAAGTGGAGGACTCGCCGCCGCCGGTGCGAAGGTAAGAAATACGAAAGTGCGTTCATAACTCCTCCGGGAAAAGAAATCGGCTTCAGATGGTGATTCGTGATCGCTTCGATTCTCACAATTCAATGTTCGCTCACGTAATTCGATCGACCTCCGACCGTCGATGAACACGAATGCCACTTCGAACCCGACTGGAAATAAGATTCTGTTTTGTTAAAATCACGCAGCGGCTCGGACGTGCGGGTACCTACGAACAACAACAGGCTGTTGAGGTATCGTATATATAATACCTCGCGTTTCTCGCACTCGAGTCGACTTCTAATCGACTGATACGCCTGACACTCCACTAACAGCAGACTAATAGACCGAATGACTAATAGCCACCTGTAGAGACTCGCGCCTTTCTCCGGTGAATTAACACTTGTGCTGCTCCACATTATCGCTCACCGACCGACGCATCGGCAAGTCGTCTCGCTCGAGCGGACGACGCCGACGAGCTGTCTCCGCTCGAGGAGAGCTCGTCGCTTGTCATTCGAGGCGGCCGCCCACAGGCGGCGAATACCGCGGCTGCCGATGCGTCTCGGCCGACGCGTTGAAGAGAGTCCTAACCTAAGAGACTAACGGGCTGAGGAGAGATATATTCAGGTTCTCTCTCGTGCGGATCTCTCGCACCATCAGCTCGACGACTAATCCGCATGATCCGCTAATTCCACGACGTCCGTTAATCCCTCGCTTTCTCGCTCGTTGAGCAGCACGGCGTGGTGGAAGAGCTGCATGTGTTGTTGGTGCTTAGGTGGATTAATCTTATCTAATCGAGAGTAATCGAATCTAATCTCGGCCTTGTAGTTAAAGCCGCGATTAAATGAAGTTTCCTTGTTTTTTTGTTTTGTTCTTCCGCGGCCGTGCACCGTTCTGTTCGCGACGCAGATCGGAGCAGGTGCGCAACCATCAAGCGGCCATGAGCAACAAGAAGTACGATCTGTCCAAGTGGAAGTACTCGGAGCTGCGCGATGCGATCAACACGTCCTGCGACATAGAGCTGTTGGAGGTGCGTATGCCGCGACGAAAACTCTTGCCGAAGAGTGCCCACCGTGACTTCCTCTGCTTGCTAACTGCAAAGTCTCGTCTCGGCCAACAGGCTTGCCGCCACGAGTTCCATCGTAGACTGAAGGTCTACCACGCCTGGAAGGCGAGGAATCGCAGGAGAACCACCATGGACGAGAACGAGAGAGCGCCAAAGTCCATCATGGAAGAGGGTAAGCAGTCCCCTAATTACCACGATCAATGATCAGTTGAGCGGCCAGGATCGGGAGAGTGCGACCTCATCAAGTCAGTCACTTCCCAGCTCTGGCCTACTATCGTAGCGTTATCGATCACCTATCTCGATACTGTACTTCGCAGCCGCGAAGACGCCGAGGACGCCGCTGAAGCAGCAGATCGTCGAGTCGTCGCAGAGATACTTCAGGATCCCGTTCGTCCGTTCCTCCGCGGCGGGGCAGCAGGACAACACGCACGGCGGCGGCAAGAGGGGCTGGTGGTACGCGCACTTTGACGGTCAATACGTAGCGCGACAGATGGAGCTTCACCCCGATAAACCGCCGATACTTCTTGTAGCAGGTGAGTCGCGCAGATGGTGCTCGAAGTTAATTCGAAAACTGGCTGGCCTATTAGTCTCGTCCCGATTTCGAAACATGAAGACTCTCGCACACGCTGCGAATGTTTTCTTCCCCTTCTCCGCTTGAAACGAACGACGAAACGGAGACGTTTGGATAGTCTTGCGTTGAAATAGAAAGATTTTCGATAAAGTTTTCAGTTGGTTGGGACGAAGACTTCAGAGCCGCCGCCAGCCGCCGTCGGAGTGCAAAATCGTCGTCGAGCTTCAACGTTGACTGATCATGTTCTTTTTTTGCTCACCACCCTCCAGGTGTCGATGACATGCAGATGTGCGAGCTGAGCTTGGACGAGACCGGGTTGACGAGGAAACGCGGCGCCGAGATCTTGGAGTACGAATTCAATCGCGAGTGGGAGAGGTACGGCGGCAAGCCGTACCTGCCGCCGTGCGGCCGCAAGAAGTGAGGAGCTCGCGAGAAAGGAGGGTCATCCTCGTCGTCGTCGTCGTCGTCGTCGTCGTCGTCGTCGTCGTCGTCGTCGTCGTCGCATAATACAGACGACGACGCTCACGTATCTTATAGTATTCGCGTCCGATGTGCCGCCGATCACGCGTGAGAACGGCGTTTCTGTGCCTTGCGCATTGTGCGGCACGCTCTGTAATTTATACGTTACGTCATAGGTACTCCGAAGGTTTCCATCGACATCATCAGCCCGTTCCCGTAGGACCCAGCTCTCGCCGGCGCGCGCTCGCGATCGGGCCGATCGGGGTGTTCCGAGACGCGCGATCCGGCGAGATCTCAACAGCGAACGCACCGCACGTCGCGAGAATCCGCAGGAGAACGCGCCTGAGATTACGTTATAACCGCATAAACTACTCCGTTATCTTCAGCTCGTTGGACGCTCGCGACTCTTTAGACACTTGACAGATTCTGTAAATCGAATACGACAGATGTAGTCGAGGTTCCTTGCGTTAAGCTTGAGCATCGTTAGCACGCGCTTCTCCGAGCTACATAGAGACCATTCCGCCGTTCTCGAGCCGTCCGTCAGCACCTTCAGCAGCGATGACACTTAGACACCTTGGCCGATGGGTCGGACAACACGCCGGCCCGAGTAAGTAGTAAAGGTCGCGGAAAGGGCGGACGCGAAGAAGGCATGTAGACCGCAAACCGCGCAAACCGAGGATCATTGTGGAAAATAAAGGAAATGATGTGTGATACTTGAGAGGCTTCGAGACTCGCTCTTCTCGCTGGACCGAGGTGAACCGAAAGTTTCGCGGAACGTCGCTAACGCACTCGCCAAGGACACGATAGCGCGATCCGAAGGCCAGAACGAGCGTGTTTGTAAAGACGTAACTTTCCAAGCTTGTGTAAAGACGGCTTGTGTAGGCGCGAGTGAGAAAGACTATCTGTACATCTCTTCGTCATCCGACAAACACCAACCGGCGACGGTAACCCCGCACCAATGTCGGAACTTATCATATGTCATGTTGCATTCATTTGCGCTAAGTGGGAGGTTCTGATGTTGACGTAACGCTACCGTCGATTCGTGTCCGCTAGGTCACACTTCGGTTTCATCGTTCGGATGAGCCATCGAGAATTCGAGTGGTGGTCGCACCACACCAGCAAATCACCCATCGATCAGCAAAACACAACGAAAGATAACGTACGATTAAATATATATATATATATATATATATATACACACACTTTTTCCCTGATACAGTTTACAAATTCGTCAACAAATTGGTCACTCCGCTGATACTCGTATTTGCTCGTGTTGTTCTTCTTCAAGATAAAATTACCCCGCTCTCGTTCGCGACGCAAGCTCGAAGCGTTCGCGATCACATCAGTCGCGTTTACGCGAATCGGCGCCGCTGAAAGGAGGCGGCGTCCAACCGCCGAAGGCAGTCTCCAGTTCCTTCGCAACCGCGAAGCAAAGCCGATCCTGGTAGGGCGCGGCTATCACCTGAAACGTGTCGAATTCTTAATTCCCTCGACCTTCGCTCGACGCGACGAGCCGGCTGGCTAAATAAGGGTCGAGCGTCGCTCGCGTGAGCGGAACGCGATGCCTACTTGAACACCTATTGGCAACCCTTCGTCGTTGAGTCCCATCGGCACGTGCAGCGCAGGAAAGCCGAAGACATTGAAGATAGTGGCGTACGAGCAATTTATAAATTCAAGCAATATGAGCCTCCGAAACGTGGTCGGGCAGCGGAAGGTCGGGTATATGAACACTCCGTTGTCTCCCAGCAGGTTCTGCAAGAGAGACGATGCAAAGTACTTCCCGCTTGATGACACGAGCGCCATTCGATCGCCTCGGCTGCGTTCAACGGGAAAAGAACAGCTTCTGCGTTGCTGCTGGTTTCACAACTGTCGCAAGGTTTGTTTTTCGCTAAATGATGGAATGATCCTACATAGTTAGCAACTTGTCAGCGTACCTTTAATACGCCTTGCGACTCGAGCAACACGCGCTGTGTCAGGAGGACGTAACTGCTTTCGCAGCTGAACGCAGTCGATGTTGCTCAATCGACGAGGACGGAACGACGCTCTGTCGTGTTTCATTCAATAAAAAGCATCCACGACGATCAGCGCGCGTGTACTTTTAGGACACTGACCAGTAACTCTCGGCGAACCACCTCTGCGTGCTTCGTGTAATACGACAAGCTCGACTTGGCGAACGGGAAGTGCGACTCCAGCAAGAAGGAGAAGAAGATGGCGCTTTTCGTGTATTGCGGTTGGCAGAACAAAGACTTCATCAATTCCATCGCTGGATTCTTGCGGCCCTGTGATGATGCGCCGACGAGGTCAAACATCAGGTCAAATTGTATTGTACTTGCAGTTTCTCGCGAAGCGTGAAGAAAGTTGTTGAGAGTTAATACGAGACGCCCGCAAGATTTGTGCAGTCTCACGTCTTAAATGAAGACGAAAGAGGACCGACTCTCACCTGCTTTTTTCATTCGCGTTGTGAGAGATTCCCTCGCCACATCGCGTCGCGGTGTTCATCAGCGTCGAGAAGCAAAGCGACGATCGGAAATTTCGATCCCGTATGAAAGGAACAATTACTCACGACTCTCTGTCGCGGCACGGAAGCGCCGCTTAACTTCTCAGTCAGAACCATAACGTTGATTCGACGTTGATTTGACGTTGAAATGATCAATGAACCAATGAATCAACTTTAATTCAACCCTCATCGACTTCGAATCAACCTTGAGTCAACGTTGTGTGGTTCTGACTGGGTCTGGGCGAGAGAGAAGAGAAAGTGCCGGAGGAGGACGAAAAACGCGGGACTTTCCCGTTTTTCCCGTGGAAGTACCGTTGTTTACCTTGGGATCGCTGGACAACAATATCTGAGGAGGCTCCTTCATACTCAGCAGCGACGCTGCCCCCATTTCAGCTATCGTGGCTGGCCAATTGATCGGCAACTGAAAAACATCGAGAGACGTGAAACGTCCACCAGCGACGATACATCGATTACAATTATCAATCACATTACAATTACTCGCTCAACATTCGCAAGTGCGACGCGAGTTCAACAGCTGCGTCGTTGAATGGGAAGTCTTAATCTTGATGTGGCGACACGACTTGTGTCTATCGCGCGGATTTCTAAAGTATGCCTCAAGGCCGTGTCTAAAATTCCGTGAGATTTCGGTTTCTCCGGATATTTTTCAAACGTCCCATCGGCATCTTGTGTACAGGGTGTCCGGGATTTTTTGGGGACGAAAAATTGTGAAGATTAGTCTGATTAGTCAGATCGAACTGAGAGGAAGGGTCATGCACCATTTTGCAAAAATCGCGATAGTCGTTAAGTTATTAATGGTCGGAAGTGACCACATCTAGAGGCTCCTTTAATCGAGAACTCGAAAATTTGCGTACTTATTTTGCAAAAGTGACTTTTTTCTTCTCAGTTTGATCTGATTAGCCTTCACAATTTTTCGTTTCCAAAAGATCCCGGATCCCGGATGTATAAATAAGGCCGACCTTTACAAGCTTTAGGATCCAGTTGACACACAGTCGTTACTTGGAACCTTTATAGTTTCAAGCAGAACACAATTGAATTTAAAATTAGACGCGTGGAATCTCTCAGCGTAGAATCTTCATCATGTAATAGTCATGAATGGGTGTATGCGACTCAACTGAAAACTTTAGACCAGTTTCTAAATTTGGGTCCGTAAATTTGGACGACGTAAGGCAGGCTGAGTCATCAACGCCGACTATGAGCACCGACCTCGGAATTAAGTAAAAAGTAAATTTTTCTACTGAGGCACGACCGCAAGCGTAACGTTGCGTGTGTTATACGACCCAAGCAAAAACGCCAAGACTGGCTCTGAATTCAGGTCTCACGCGAGACAAGTTCCGAGTAATGATTATTAATATAATACAAACTTTGAGATTAGCCCTGATAAGAATAACATTTTCAGCCGCGCAGTCACAAATGCAATCCGTCGCGGGTATTCTAATTCTACACTCAGATCTGAATGTTTCATGTCAGCGACAAGCTTAAAGCCACGTGTATTGCACGATTCAACTTGGAAATTAGATTAGTAAGTTTTTCAGCTGAGTCGAGCTTGCGAATGCAACTTCGCGAAGTCCAGTCGTATGGTCCAGGTAAAGAAGATCTGATATCAAAAAATCTAAACCCAGGCCAGAGTAGCCCACGTGGGACGAGCCTCAAGTTAGGCGTCTTCTGGGAGTCTCCTGTCCAGGACACATCCCGTAGAAAAAGTTGCAGCAACATTGCTGCAACGTTGCAACGATATTGCAATGTTGCAGCAACATTGCCATAATGTTGCCGCAACTTTCGTGCTGTACGGGATCAGACGGGGGCGACCCGCGGGTGTTACCTTCTCCGTGTGGAGGCCGAGCTGTTCGAAGTGGTGCGCGGCCTTGAAGACGCACTGCTGGATCTCCGGCGACACCGGCAATATGCCGAACGAGTTGTCCACATTTTGCAGATAATAAACCTTCAGCTGCTTCAAATCGACCGGCACGGTCAGACGCAAGTCACGATCGCAGTCTGATGCCAGTACTCTCATGAGCAGACTGAGGTCTTCGGCGTATCTGGTCATCGGGCCGAACGTCAAATATCTCTGGAAGGTCTCATCCTTGCACTCTGGGATGTGACCTCTGGTCGAGATTATTCCTGCAACGCGAAACAAGGATAATGCGATCGATCGGGCAAGTATCACGTATCACTTGCAGCGAACGGTCGTTGCGGCTCTCTTCTGGAATCAACTTGACATAGTGACCTTAGCAATAATAATATCAGTTAACATTGGCATAATTAAACGCTTGGGATCGTCATAACCGATATAACGTGCGTCATCGTTATGTCACAGCGAATCGTAAAAAAATGGTCTTAAGAGCTCGACGACGAGAGTAACCGTTGCTTCTGGAATAAAAAACGACAACAAACGCCGATAACGGTTTACTTTGACGAAGAAGCTTTCCAAATTCCCCGCCGATTAGCACAAAGATTAATATCATCAAGTCAGCTGTGCGAGCTGTACGGTTGTTGGTTCTCGATGAGATTTCGTATTGAAATTTAGCCACTCTCGAACGGACTTGAGGAAGAAGGATGCACTCTCACCATTCGTGGGTTTGTGTCCGAAAACGCCGTTGAAGATCGCCGGTATCCTTATAGAGCCGGCAACGTCCGAGCCAATTCCGATCAAGGAGGCACCGGATCCGAGCAGGGCGCCCTTAAATCAAACAATCAGTTACTTAATTCGCCGAATCCAATTCTCACACTTCAGGTCTTCTGGATTTCTCCTTCGGACATTGCGTGGCCAGCAAAGTGGCACTGTGAGACGAACTTAAAAAATCTTGCAAAATCCGAACACAACGTCCAGTCCTGCAAGAATTTAAGGCCGTAAGGCAGGTGAACGCGATAGATATGTGCAGGTTGGAATTTAGCGCGCAGAAGAACGAGTTAGCGATAAATGTAATAAACATAGGCAAGAAACACGACGCTCAAAGGCTTCTCGTGATCAGTTCTTGAAAGCAGGATCGTTAAGCGGCACTAACATAGTAATAATGTTATTCGTGCTAATTTTAAGTTTGACGTCAGTAATGCATTATCATATGTAACAATATAAAGCGAGCGACTTAGCCGTGAAGAGTTCGCTCTGCATTATAATTCAGCCACCGTGAGTGGCTGAAGAAACATTCTTCGCATTCCCGTCGTTTCTCGTCGTTTCAAGTCACATCATATAATACGCTCAAATGTGTCAAACGACGTGATTCGAGACGACGACGACGACGACGACGACGGGAACGATGCGAGAAGAAAGCTGACCGATCGCGTGTGCTTGTACCTGCGAAATTAATCAGCATACAGCATAGGTAGCAGCATTGCAGCAACATATATACGCAATATATAATCATAATAATAATAATAATAATAATGATAATAATAATATAAATTAAAAAAATATATTTTTATTTATTGTATTATTTATTATTACTTATCTATTATTTAATCTATCATCATTTATTATGTACATAGATACACGCAATGTTGCAACAATGTTGCGGCAACTGTCCGAACGGTTTCCCAATGCAGCTTACCTCTCCGCCGGACGATCCGCCGGCTGAGTACCTGGTGTCGTAAGGATTAAGGGTGGCGCCGTACACCAGATTCCAGGTGTCGAAGTTGCTGCTCATTTCCGGGGTATTCGTAACGCACAGCGGAATCGCGCCGGCGTTGTACAGGAGCTCGATGACGGCGCTGTCCGCGGTCGCTTTTATCCCTTTGCGGATCAGAGAGCCACCGGTGTAGCTAAGACCTGCGCGAGACGTGATCGGTGTCTTAATGGTGGGATATTCCCGACGTTCATATTGAAACCTTCGCTCATGAAGCGATCCTTCCGGAGCGTATCATGTGTGTTCGGGCTGTGGCGCATGGACAAACGTAAGCGGTAAAACTTGAGGCTCCTGGGCTGCGTTCTAAAAGCCTACTCGATCAACGCGATGGAAGGTGGCGGGGGGCAAGAGTAAGGCTGAGTAAGTCTTAAACGAGGAAGAGAATAAGTTCCGCATAAGGACTGTACATTTAGACGCGTGGAGTAAGCCAACTGCTGTAATTTATCAAATTAGTCAAGTTGGAAACACAAAAGGTGCGTTAAATACAGCAATACAGACTGCCTCGGAGCAGGAGAACTTGAACAGGCAATTATATGGAAAAATTAAGTTGAAAAATTAAATTTGCAAATTTGCGAACAGAACTTAGTGACGCAAAGTGTTGAGGCTGTTGTGTCGATTTGTGTACAAACTGAATGTTCTCGTGTGCACGTATTGCCGTGAAAGATTAACGCGATTTAGGAGAAGGTTGTAAAAAAAAAGTATATATATATATATATTGTACTTTAAATTCGCGTTCTTACTTTATGACTCAGCAAACGCAAAGATATAACTATTACGCAATATATATGTAATATATATTAATAAGTAATGAATAATAAGTAATATCGACATAATTGATGTTGTAAATAATTAATGTTGAGATTGTTTAATTTCTCCTTTAAAAATAACATAAGTAGATATAACAATAAGTACAACATAAGTAGAACGTAACACTTATAATATAACTAGTGCTCACGTTACGTTCATTTTATGTGACATTTTTACATTCGAGACGTCGGTTCGTTCTTCGAATAATTTTTCATTCTGATGCGCAAAATGTGATGCATACATGTATAAGCTGAAGCTTTCTTCACGTGTTTCTTGTCATCCGAAATCACTTGACCATTATTTGATGCATTTCGATACGTCACTTGACGCGTTTAAACGCGTTAAACGACGTGATTTAAGACGACAAGATAAAGGAAGCTTCAGCTTATACGCGTCAAAATAACACACTCGGGTTTGCAGTGTATGCAAGATATGATATGAAACGATATATTTTATACATGCATCTCTCATATTTTGCGCATCAGAAAGAAAAAATGAGACGACCATGGCTCGCAAAATTCGCACCGTGGTGCCACTTTTATAACAAAGCAGCGCACATTTTGACGAACGATTGTTACTTTCGCCAGTAACAATCGCTTCCGACGAAATATTCACGTGTGATGGGAATAAATTTTTATAGCTCGTCGGTGAAGAATGGCAAGGTACTTTTGTATCATCACGCAAGGTACTTTTGTATCATCTTGCTGGAAACAATAACAATTATATTATTGCGTTTGCTGAACGAGTTTCTCCGGAGAACTTTTCTGACTCTTCTTTAATTGATCGATTTCTTACTGCGGGATTTCTTGCTATACTTATCCTCACCTTTGCACGCGTCTAAACTTCGCTTATATTGTATGTTAATTGGTGTTTTACAAAGATGATGAGTTAATCCTGTAAACTTACTTAGAATAGTTTAAAATTTTTTATTTTGAAACACAGTCCTGGGTGCTCGCTCCCAGGTCGTATTGAATATTAATCATCAATCGATCAGAATACCAATCAGAGATACCTGAGAAATATGGTCGGACTTAATTTGTCGAGTATGTCATGAGAACTTTAAGTATTCTTCCACCTAAATATTACATTTTTACGAAATTTTTACGAAATTTTTGGAAACGGCACGTGAGAATTTCCGTTTCCTCGTTTCGCAACGTGAAATCAGGAGGCGTTTTGAATTCGAGATTGCTTGAGAACGTAAAACAGTCATATTAAAATTCACGACTGCGACTTGTTGATGCGCATTTACCGCTTGTCTTTTCTTTTTTCTCCGTGACTTTTTTTAACGAACAGCTCTAGAACGCGGTCTAAAAGCTTCAAAGGCGATCAGTTCACCTTCGCATGTCCAATCGCGTGGCGAGGAGATCGCGATGCTGCTTCTTCCCGATGAACCTTGCAGCAGCGCATCGGTATCGGCTGAGAGAATTTACTTTCGAGTGACTCTCTCGATTCTAAATTCTCTCGTCAAATGCCAAATGCGTTCCGCGACAGGCGACAAAAGCATCATGACCTCTCCGACCTCGCACCAACATCGTACCGTTATGCGTGTGCTTGTGTCTTGCGATATGATGAAAAAAGAAAAAAGAAAAGAAAATGAAAAAAAGAAAGAATATATGGAAGAAGAATATAGAAGAAGAATAAAAAGATCGAAAGAAAGAAAGGATGTCTCGGGATGTTGTTAGAAAAATATCGGTTGCCCCGAGTACCTTTGACAGCGCAACACTCCTTGATAGTGATAGGCACCCCGTAGAGCGGCTTCTCCTTCTCCAACGTTTCCGCGTCGAATTTGCCGGCGGCCAGCTGCTCGTCGCAAATTTTCGCCTGTATTATCGCCGGCCCGAATCGATTGTCCACGACGGCGTTCAGGACGCGATTTACCTCCTTTATCCGCTCCGTATACGTGTACACCACTTGGTAGCTCGTGATCTATTTTGTTTTTTGCGGGTTTACGAAAACACACTGGTGACACTTTCTCCGTCTCTTTCGTATTTGCGGAAATCGCGTCGTAAAGCAAAAAGGAGAGAACCTCTCCGGAGAGAAGAATCTCCGTTCGTGTGGCCGACGAATGAGGTCAGACGAAAACTTGATGACGAGAAGCGAGATCTGCGTTAAAGCTTGATTGATGATCGAGAGAGAGAGAGAGAGAGAGAGAGAGAGGCGCAGCAATCCATGACAAATAAAAGCCCCTGCGGGAATTTTTTTTCTAGTTGTCCCGAAACCGAGTTCTCGTCTGTTCCTCGGGCGAATTTAGTTGGGCCAATTGTTTATGCATTATTTGTTCTTTTCTACTTCCCTCCTTGTGACTCACCTCTCGCTGCCGAATCATCCTGGCGAGCGTGGTGGCGCTCAGCGAGAACAAGGTCTCCTTTGCTGGTGGTATTCTGGACGGTTGCTTGCGGTAGATTAGCGACCATATCCAGAACATCATGAAATTTATGACGTTCAGCAGGCCGAGGAAAATGCGCATCGTAAGATGTGACTCCTGCAACGCAACCGACCACACAGGTGATCGGTGTATTAGCACCTTTATGTGAAAACGAGACGGAGTCGTAACGAAACCGATGCAAATCGCCGAGCTGTGTATTGTCCTTATGAGAAATGGTAATGATGACTTAATGCATATTAAAATTTGTGACATACATCGATTACAAATGGTAATTCAGCGTGGAGGAAAACGAGTTTCTTTACGCGCGATAAGACCTAGCCTCCCTCAGGCCGTTTTCTTTCCTGCCTCCTCGAAGGACATTCATACGTTGTACCGCCCGTAATGTCCATGCTGCGTTCGACGATTAACGTATCGCAATGACGAAGCGCGCGTTCGACGCTGGACTGCACACTTGCGTCTCGCGATGAAACTCTCGAGAGAGTTCCGCGAGATCGTGTGGAGTATTTGCAAACGGGACTACAATGTATACTTTCATTCTCTTTCCGAGCGTGCGCACGTCAATCCGCTGATTGAATGCCGACGATAAAGGTTAAGAGGTCCTGAAAGCTAACCTTTGTGATTTAATATAGACGATGAGACTCATAGCTGAAGGAAAACATTCCTGTGACGTTTTCCCGCAGCGACGTCGATATGTTATGCACCTATTACACGCCTGGTTTGAGATATTTCTGCACTCGTTAATTTCTACGTCGTAAACACGCGTCTGCCTGACAGAGTTAAAAGGCACCCGATCAATTCCGTTCAGCCAAGGCTCTCGATGCTCTTTGGAGCATTTATATATATTGTATATGTATTGTTATATATATATATATAATATATATATATTATATTTATATATAATATATATATATATATATATATAATATATATATATATAATATATATATATTATATATATATATATATATATATATATTATATTTATATATATATATATATATTTCACCGCCTCAGCGACATTAATGAAGCTATTTTCACTTCGACTTAATATACTCCCGGTTTTCTCACAAGTTTTCTCCATCGATCAGTTTGCGATAAATTGTGTATCTGCTACTGTTGTTGTTGATGCGAACTTTATGGAGCATAAAACGGCGATATTAACTTCCGCGTATGAATTATATATACAAGTATACGAGGTGTCCGGGATCTTTTGGAAGCGAAAAATTGTGCGGATTAATCGGATCAAACGGGGAGGAAAAGTCAATTTTGCAAAAATCGCAATAGTCACGATTGAAAGTGACTACGGCTCTAGACTAGGCTCTTTCAATTAACTCGATCACTTGGAAATTTGCGTACTTATCTGCAGAATGGTAAAGGACATTTCTTTCAGAATGACCTAATCTGCAATTACGTGACGGCTATTGTGTGGGAGCCCGATATGGTCCGATTTTCCGTCATTAACTCAACTTAATAACCATCGCGACTTTTGCGAAAAAGCACTTGACTTTTCTGCTCACTTTGATCCGATTGATCCTCGCAATCTTCTTCGTTCCCGAAAGAAACCCGAACACACTCTGTGGACATATTCGCAATAATACGTGTATTCAAGAGACGGAATATATTAATAAGCGACATTCGGAATTTCGATTTTTTTTTTCGATTCGGAAGAAAGGAGGAAAGCGAGAGAGAGAGAGAGAGAGAGAGAGAGAGAGAGAGAGAGAGAGAGAGAGAGAGAGAGCAGAAGAAGCAGAAACGACCCAGTACGGCGCGTTACGTTCACGGTTAGTCGGCTGTCGCAACGTTATATTGAGAGTCATCGTGTCGTCGAGTGTAGCACGTACGAGTTAGCGAGTAACGCGTAATATCTGTTCTGAAATTAGCAGGTGGGCCTGTTACGCAAGAGCCTTCGGTATCGGTAGTAAACCTGCGTGCTACGTTACCAATAGCATTAACGACGGGCACCGGGTGGTCCTATCAGCGAGTTAGACTGCACATCACGATTAGGAGTAAACACATAACTGCCGACTGCCAAGTCCAAGCCGGACGCGCGTAACCCCTTGAATAATAATGCGGCCCCTAATGCGACCGTTCCTTTTTTTCTTTGTTTTTCTCTTCTCCTCGAGTCGCCCGTCCGATCTTCTTCCCGACCTCGATAATACCGATGACGCTCAGAACGGTCTCCTTCCTGTTTTTATTCTTTGTTATTCTCACTCATATGCGATATCCCGGTAATTACCTCGCATAGACGATCGCGTGTTATACCGTCGAGAGATAACGATCTCTCGCTCAGCCGAGAGCCGAGTTTGCGGCTCTCGCGTGGAAAGGCGTTCGCCGCTGCAATTTTCATTACCATGTTTGCATAACAGTTTTTTAGGTTCTTTTTCGCGCTCGCGCTGTTTTCTTTACGAAAGTATCCGGCGCAAGTATTGTATTACCCGCCCGCTCGCTCCCTCTCTCTCTCTCTCTCTCTCTCTCTCTCTCTCGCTCTTCGACCGCTCTTTTGACCGCGCGCAGTATAATCTGATCGCGTGTGGAACTTTTGCGTTTTGCGTTTCTCTCCACACTGCGTGCGTTTCACTCGCTCGGGAAGATCGAAAAGCTTCGACGCGGTGCAGCAAACACTTCCCCCTTTCATATTTCGCAACGATACTTTTCGCCGCGGCCGGTAACGGCCGGCTGGACGATGTACGTGTAAATTGACCAATGGGACCCAATGGGGCCCGGGTCCTTCGGCCAAGAGATATCCGATACGTTCGTTTGACGTTCGATAAGCATCCGCTGCCTTTTTCTCCCTTCTCCCTTCTCAGGCCGGATCTCGCGCTGGTCCCCCCTTGGCGCCTCGGATAATTCACCCGAGAAGAGAAAAGTAATTTCAGAACAAGCGGAATCATCTGAATTTTAGAGGATTTTATTCTTATATCTGGCCTCAAGAAGATTCCTTTAAGATTAAGAGGAGAATATTACAAACACATAATATTCTTAATGTTGGAGGAATTATACGTTATATGTACGATGCAAATTTTATCGATTTTAATGTAAATCTCTTATGCAGATTATTTAGTCATATTTAATCTCTTTTTAAGAGGATTATTATTTATTCTTACTGTTTTTCTTACTGTTCTTACTTATTCTTGCTGGTTATACTAGTTAATTTGAAAAAATTATTATAATGTACAGCGAAGAGTAATATATGTATATACAATATATAGATGTACTTTTGACTCCAGTTCTACAATAAGTAGACACGAATGAAATAAGATCACCGTAACAAACAAATTTCCAATCAATTTTGTTATGGACATCACAGCTACTAAGATATTCATCGTAACCAATTGTATGAAACATGGTTAAAAGGAAGAATATATTATTCAATTTCTTGCGATAGATTATAAAGTGTATTTGACCAATATTACGGGTAAATAATCTCCGTTGCATGTTACAGCGACACACATATCTTTCGTAAAAAGCGTTTCAAATATTCTCACCCGTGAGAGCATATGATGAATTTTTTCGTCTGGAGGTGGAGCGTGACTGAACGAAAGAAGCCGACATTCAAATCAACATATTCCTCCTCGTGTAAGAGGGGAATTAATTGATACAAGAGGAAAACAATTGGAATAATATCTAATAAATTCTAGATCAATGCTACACTTTAATCGCTTTACGGAAAGAGAGATTCTTTTTCTGCGAAAGGCTTCGCTTAGAATATGAGATTATGGGAGGAGATTAAGAATCACTTTACAAATAGAATACATTTTTTTGGGTGAATTCAGTTTCGCCGGCCGGGGTGTTGGTAACATTCATCATCATGATTTCCCCATCGTCGGCCGCGAGTGCGAGAAACTACCGCTCGAGAGTGCGCGCGTTGCGAAGAATTCGACTTTTAAACACCTGGCAGAGAATTTCGCTGAGTCCTCTTTGCCCGCTAATGTCACCTTGATCGCGAGTCTCCGATTCCAGCGAGTTTCCAGCCGAAACGCGCGCGTTCTTCGCGTTCAACGCCCGCGAGAAGAGACTTTTTTTTTTTTGGATCAGACCAACGCGACACGTTCGTTGATCTCGCCTGATCATTCATTTTATTATTATTACGACACTTGTTATTGCCGTCTTACCGATCATGTTGCATGTAACTTTACATAATGAAGTTTGCGTAACGTGCAAGAAAGCCCAAAAAGATACACGAGAGCCGAGAGCGGCTGCGAGAGCGGCGCGGCGGCGGAATGAAATGCAACCCGAGACCCGTTTCCTTCATTCCGTTCCGCAGTCACGGATTGGAGGCACAGCAGGAGTTGCAAGAGGAGGTAAAAGGAGAGACGGTATTACATATGAGTTATCGCCACTTTTCCACCGTCCTGCGCACCGAGAGCGAGAAGCGCGCTGCATCGCGCGCGCGCGCGCGCGCGCGCGCAAAGCGAAGAAAAGGAAACGTACTTGCCGCGATGCAAGCGTATTAGCAAATACGTCCATTTCGTCCATTTTCGGAAAACCGCGCTCGAGCGCGAGACGTGAAAGTGGACTCGAGCCAAGGAGTGCACACGGAGAGGATTCGTTCGCACGGGCGCATTCCCGACGCTCAATTGCCTTCAATTAGCCGCGTATATCGCCAGTCTCGGTCTTTCGAACGGATCGAAGAGCGCTCGCTTGCACAACGTCGCTCGCGAACGTTGGACGGTTGGTTTCTCTGCTGATTATCTCGCGGCACAATGCGATTTCTTCCTCCTTCTTATTTTTCGCGTGTCCGTCTATCGTGTCCGCCCGAAAGCGAATAACGGATATGGAGCCGCTTATCAGCTTATAAAAGAGCCACCTATTGAAAAAGAGCTTATCGGAGAGAGCTAGATAGACGAAACAGGATGTTAAAGCGTCGGTGCGTGTTATTGCTGATACGGCAAGTTCGATAATCTATATCCGTCTTGGGACCTTGTTGTCACAATGACAATCGTTTCGCAAGGGTTCCTCAGCAACGAGACACGCTCCAGCGACCGGTCTCAAGATCGGCAAAATGGGCGATCGCTTTTCCCACAACTTCTCTTCGCACAGAAAAAAATAAACGATGGAGTGCAGTCCAGCGATTTGCCTCGAGACGAGGAGACGGAATCGTTCCTCTCACGTTTCCTCCGCGAAAGAAAAGACATTAATGAATAGCGATCGATCGATGCCAAGGGAAGAAGTTTGGATCGTTTCTCTCTCGCGTGTTCTTCTCGTGGAATAACGGAAATACAGTTCGGCGGTCGGAATGTCAAGACAAGAGGATGCTATCCTTCCTCTTTCTTCGAAAAAAAAAAGAAAAAAGAAAGAAAGAGAAAAATAATCTGGAGACGAGAGAACGGGTCCGTACCTTTCCGCGTATCCCTCGTAAGAAAAGGGATTATTTTTTTAAGCCTCTTTCAGGATTCGTAGAAAGTCGCATTTTTGCCGCGAAACGACAGATCGCGACGTTGCGAGGTGGAGAAGAGTCATTTCGATTCGCACATACCATGGCGACGAGATTGTTGATCGTTGACGAAGATGAACGTATGCACGGGACACGTGTCCTTTCCGGGCGAAGATCGATTGCGATCCTCGCCGGGCAATTTGCGGAAAGTAGGCCGAAATGGCACAGACACGAAAAAGCAGGTCGTGGATCTTGCTTTCTAACGCTGCGAAATTCGACACGCTGCTTTCCCTCGTCCTTTTGTCCCTTCCAGTACGCGGCACAGTCCGAAGGCGAGAAACGCGCGAGCGGATCGCAAGCTCGTGGAAACACGCGCTGCTCGGACCTGAATTACGAACGGACTGATCACAACGATGCTTCGAGCTGCAATTTTAGCAAACATCAGATGGTGGGGGAGTCGCAGGCAGCGGCGATATCTTAAGGCCGTTGCTCGGCGGCGGTGCTCCGAGTTACTCGCGGCGATAAGAGACGACCGTCACGATGAACCTCCGCTTCTTACAACTGATAATTGACACATCGAGAAAAGTGAATCTCGTGGATCCGGGAACAAACCTGCAATTCATCGCTTTCCTTCGTCACTGTCGGGCGTCTCATCCGCCGACGGAGCGACCGCCAGAGTCCCGTTTGAAGTATCAAAGCGAAAGTTGCCATTTTGTGCAAGTACCGCGGAAAGCTCTGCACTAAATTACGATTTTGCCGAAGCGGTACAATTAATCCTTTACCCTCGCCGACTCGCCTGCTCACGTTTCTCCGTTTCAGAGAGCAGAGAAGCTCGTCACTCGCGAATCTTCGTTGCAACACGAGAGGATCGAGTGAAAGGAGGAAGAGGGAAGAATAGTAGGAATTAAAGGCGAGTGGAGGCGTGCAATCGTGTGAGAAAATCTGCGCATAAAGCGCTCCTCAATCTCAGCGCGGTGACTCGCCGCACTAATTATTACATTCCTCCGGGAAACTCCACAAACGACTTTCCTAATGATCGAGAGACGTCGACAGTCCGTTATCGCGAGCTTGGCCACAAGGCCAAGCCGAGCAACATTCGACGAGCTTCAACGGAAAGCACGGACTTTAATCCGAGCAAAGCGCGATCGGACACGTGTCCGAAAAAGAAGAGCGAGAAAACCCGCGCGCGATCGCTCGCGGGATTAATTTGAAAATAAAATGGCGACTCGTTCGTTTCGCCGCGCGGCGATAATCGGCCGCCGGCCGGGCCGGGCGCCGGGCCGGATAATTACGGTAGTGTCGCGCGGCAAGGGTAGAGGCCGCGCGGCGCGCTGATTGGCCGCTCTTTCAAGCGGCCGGCTTGAGGCGAGCGCCGCGAGAGCGCGCTCGGGCCGCGACTCGCGCCTCGAGAGAGCGGCCGATGGCGACCAAGAAGTGCCTGCGAAACCGCCGCGAGCAGCCGCGCCGAAGCTCAGCCGCGCTGTCGCGCCGTCGCGCCGTGTCTGTGTACGCGCCGCAGAGTTACGTCGCGTTTCCGCGATTTCCGTCCCAGCGTGTCGCGTGTCCAGCAGCGAAGGTGCGCTGCGTCTTGTTGTCTTTCCCCTCGTAACACGACGACGACGACGACGACGACGACGACAACGACGACGACGACGACGACGACAACGACGACGACGACGACGACGACGACGTCGTCGCGTCGCGAGAGCGTGCGTGCCGCGAATCATCGCGCCCGTGTGTCTGTGAATGCGTGCGTGTGCCCCCCGACGGTTGGTGCGGTGCGGTATCGCGCGTCGGTGTGTGCATCGGCTGTGTGTGTGCGTGTTTGTGTGTGCGCGCGCGTCGTGTTGAGAAGAAGTGCCGACCAGCTCACGGTGGAGATCGTCGCTGTGCCGAGCGAGGGAGACGGAGATACGTATACACACGTAGGTAAATATCGGCGGAGTGCGAGTGACGAGAGAAAGAGCCTGTATGTGTGTGTGTGTGTGTGTGTGTAGTGTGGGGTTGTGAGAGAAAGAGCGAGAGAGAGCGAGAGATAAAGAAAAAGAATAAGAAGAAAAATCGCGATGTGTTCGCATTGCAGCTCGCGCCGTCGTCGCGGTCGCTAGAATTGACACTTTGGAAGGAGCATGGACCAACGGCACCAGCGGCATCGGTCGTCCCGGCGTCAGTAAACACAAGCACCGACGGATATACAAAGTGAGTCATTGCTCTCTTGCTTTCAATCGGTCTCTCGTTCCTTCCTTCCTTCCTTCCTTCCTTGCGTACTTATCTCCTTCCTTCTTTCTTCTTTCGACCTCCTCCTCCTCCTCCTCCTTCTCCTGCTGCTTCTCCGCAATTTCTAACCTGTCCCTCGCGACCTGGCGCGTTTCTTTAACGACAACCGACTAAATAACGAGCGTGCGGACGGGAGACAAGCTCCGAAGAATACTCGTCTCTCGGAATAGCGGATAGCGGCGTTTGCCTCTGCTTTCTCTTTTCGGAGATTATCCTCGTCCCGAATTGAGTGTGACGTAATTTCGGGCAGGTCAGCTTGAAAGTTTACGTGAGCTGAAAAGCATTACGTGTCGGAAGCGGAGCCGGGAGAGAGCTCGTTTCGCTTTCGGCCGTCGCCGCTTCTTCTCTTCCACGAAGCTCTCTTCCCACGAATTTGAGAAGCACGAGCTAAGCGCGAACGTTTCAAACAAACTCGCCTCTCGCTTCTTTCATGCTTTTTTCTCTTATATTCACGTCGCGACGTATTGTTGCGAGTCTCGCCGTCCGCCCCTCCCCCCCCCCCGCGGAAAAATAGCCGCTCGAGACCCCGCGACTCCGCATTGCGCATTGTTTACAAGCGCAGAGTTCAAGTCGCCAAAGTCAGGTGATCCACATCGACGTTTCTCGCGTTATCGTCAGGAACGATATTTTGCCACGCTCGGAGATACAGCCCCCACCCCCTCTCCCTCCCCCGCCGGGCCGTGCACGCGCGCGCGCGCGCGCACGCTTTCGCATCGCGCACGCGAGACGCACGTACACACGCACGCACGCACACGCGCGCGTAAGCGCACACCGTCGGGCGCAACGGTGCGTTTTCTCGAGCCCCGAGCGGTGTTTCCACGGTTTTCTGCGGTCGGTGCTTTCGTTTCGACTGGTCGCGGTGCTTTTTCTTCGGCGCTCCTTGCCCGCGCCGTCGATGCTCTCCTACCCGTGCTCCACATACCGGGTGTCGCTTTTAGTCACGCGTTGCCGAGGAGAGGCCAAGAAGCAAGAAGAAAAATAACGAGTTTCCAAGAGTCACTTGGAGGCCTCCTCCCTCCTCCCCTCCCCCCGTTGCTCCGCAGCGGCGGCGGCGGCGACGGTCTGAGGCTCCGACTAGCAAGAGAAAAGAAAGAAGGGCCTCGATGAACCAGACTCGCGTGTACAACGAGGATTACTTGACCGGGGATCTTAATTGCAACGTCTGTGCCAACACGTACCCTGCCAGGCCAGACTTTTCAGAGCAGACTGTTCGATATTTTGCCGCCGCCGAAACGGAACAATCGCGGAGTAAAACCACTCGCGCCTGGTTGCCGTGAGTTTTTTTTACCGAGGATATCTCAAATGAATGGCCTTAATTAAACAACACGTCACACGTGTCGCTGAAATATCACTTTCCCGAATCAGTCCCGGAGCGTATATTTTGTTTGTCAGTTTTCTCTTCTCTTTCTTTGCGCAAATAAATCACACGGGGTGTTGTTTACACCCCAAAGGTTTTAGGTTTTAGATTAGGTTAGAAGGAATATATAATACTTATTTATTATCGTATGATACTTATTTAATATCCTGTGATATTATTTAATATTAAATCGTGTATTTATTTATCATCGTACAAACATACAGTCACACGGTGCACAGATAAATCTGGAAACGTGACGGAAAATAAAAGATGGCGATGCGAAATTGTGGTAGCAATCAGGTGTCACTCGGGAGTTTATCCCGATCGCGAGGCGCGTTTAAAAATTGCCGCGAGACGCGTGTTTGACGAAACTCAGGTGAGCCTCAAGAGCTGCCGTGAAAGAAGGTCACGTTGACGCTGTCACGGGTGAAATCTCACCCGTGCGGCACATGTTTTTTCACTTGAAATGATAAAGCGAAACAGTCGCGCGCAATTTTATGTTTTTTATTATCGCTGAACATCGGGAACGAAAGGTAGAGAGAAAGAGAGAGAGAGAGAGAGAGAGAGAGAGAGAACATCAATTGTGTTCGCAGCGAATTATTTAACGTTTAACGAGAACGAGAGAAAATTCGCACGCGGCGAGCGACTTGAGCGCCGCGGTAGCCTTCAAGGGTTAAAACTCGCCTTGCGCGAGCGGCGAGCCACGTCGAACTTTCCGCCCGGGTCGTTTGACGTTTGACTCCCGACGAGGCGAGACGCGAGGCGCCCTCGCGGAATTATTATGAGCCGCGTGTTGCTTAATACGCGACGCATGTCTCATAACACGACGACGCGGCTCCACGTCACGGTGTGAGATCCTCGGCGGCGATGACGACGACGACGACGACGACGACGACGACAGGTTAGGGATAAAATTGATCCGCCGCGGGACGCGCGTCGATCGGGGCAACGTCGTGCACCTGCGGGACCTTCTCCGGCGGAACGCCAAACACGATGCCGAACAGCAACAAACGCTCTCTCTCTCTCTCTCTCTCTCTTTCGCGCGCGCGCGCGCGGGAGAGGAAAAGGCGGAAGGAAAAGCGCGGGGGCCCGCGCGCTCGAGTCAGGATGCAATATCCATTAGACGCCTCGCAAGCGTCGTCCCAAGCGTTTCTTTATACGCGGGATTAACGACATCATTACGCAGGTAGAACTCTTTGAAGTGTCTAATGGCCGCCTCCCTCGCGCGCGGTCACGTTGACGTCGGACTCGCGCGCGCTAGGAATCAGACGACGGCTTGTCGAAAATGAGACGACGAGCGAACGATCGTGCCTGGATCTCTGCCGGTCGATCGCTGCGAGAAATCGCTGTCTAATTACGCGCCGCTCGCTTTTAACCGCGCGCCGCCGCTCGGCGAGCGCGACCTGTCGATTTCATCCCTCTTTCTCTCTTTCTGTCTTTCTCTTGCGTTCGCTTTAGCTGTGAATTAGTGCCGCGGCGGGATGAACCTTGCTCGTTACCCCTTCGAGACGCTGGCTTATGTGGTGATTTATGAAATTTTATTGCATCACATTGTTCTACGACATTGCGTGGTACATTGCGGGGTAAAATTTCGGAAAAGTCGCCCAGTTAATCGCTATGAATCGAATGCCGAGGGTGTTCGAGTAACATTGAGTGTTGGAGTGTCGCGTTACTCTCCCAGATTCGTCTGAATCGCAGATATTTGTTTCAGCCTGATTCGCCGCAACGCGCGCGGTTATCCTGTATTCCGACGTTTAAAGCGCTCACGCGAAGGAGATACCTACTAAACATTTTATCAACGATGTGAAGAAGCGTCTTCGAAACTTCCTTGGCATTACAAACCCCCGTTTCAGGCGTTTCGGCCAAAATTCCCGGAGACAAGGCGCGCGCGCGATTTTCGAAGGCCCACCCGGTACACTCGTCTTGTCATATTACACTGTATTACATTCATCAGCAGGCGAGAGCGTGCTCGCTCCGCTCGCGCGGTAAGAAGTGCGGCCTGGTTCGGGCAAGAAGAACGCACCTGATTCACACCGCCGCGAATCGAACGGCGCGCGCATTTCCGGGAGCGAATCCGTTGACATTTGAGCCGCGATGCGCACGAGGAGAAGCGTCGGCGTCGCCAGCGCAAAGCGATAAAGCGCCGCCGACGACATCGACGTCGGCACCGCGCGCCGCGCCGCGCCGCGCCGCGCCGCGCCACGTCGAGAGTACAAGGCAAGGATAATGATATTACGGTTTAAAGAGACGGCTTAACCTAACCGTTAGTTTATTGGCGTGAAGGAGTCGCAGAGCGTGTCTACATCAAAGCGGCCGCTTCCGAGCTCCACTCTCTGCCCCACTCTCGGCTGCTCCCCACCTCCGCCCTCGTCCCGACGCCGCCGCCGCCGCCGCCGCCGTCGCCGCTGCCGCCGTCGCCACCGCCGCCGACGTCGGTCTCCTCCGGCCCACCATACCAACCAACACCAGCCGGCGCGTCTGTCCGCTTCACCGAGCTGAGCTCGCGCAAGCGGCACCCTCGCCGCCGAAGGCACAGGCTGCGCTCTCTGCGCGTAGCTGCGTCGGCTATTAACACCTATTAACATCTGAAACGGGACGCACCCCGCGGCGAACGTATCGGTCCGCGGAAATACGAATCTCTCTCTCTCTCTCTCTCTCTCTGTGTGTGTGTGTGTGTGTGTGTGTGTGTATGACTGAGGCACTCGGCAGCGCGTTTGACTGTCGGCGTGTCGCTCGTCGCCGACGGGCGAGAGAGGATGCTCGAGTGACCAGAGTCGCAGAAGTGGATGTGTCGAGATTCTTGCTGGAGCTCTGCCGTGATCCTGATAAAAAGTTGCTGATGCCGAGGCTGTCATCGCTGACACCGTAAGGGTGGTGATGGGGTTAATTGATCGGCGGATTATTTTTCGCACCTCGGTATCGAGCGCTCTCTCTCTCTCTCTCTCTCTCTCTCTCTCTCTTCGAGCGGAGGGCAGGAGCGAGGGGATGGTTCTCGGACGCGGGGGTTGAACGCTGACCTGCACCTTCCGCTTTGCGCGTCTCCTTGCACTTCCGTTCCTTTGATTTCGCAGCTTGAGAGATAACCCGTCGGGTTCGGGTCGGGGTCGGGGATCGTGTGGTCGATCACGCGAACGCAGCAGACGCGTGGCGGCGGCCACCTTTGCGAGCGCGGAAGGCCGACGCGACGAGAGGAGAGGAGAGAGCGGCACGCACGGCGGCACGGTTTGGGAATCCCCCAACGGAGCACGACACGCCGCGAAGCGTCGACAAAGTAGCTGGCTCAGGGGTGCGCTCCGTTCTTCGTGGTCGTGCCATCGCGTTTGATACCACGTGCTCTCGTGCCGGGGGACTAAAGGGGCCGACATTGGCGACTGAGGAGGGACAGCGGCGGGGGAGGGGGGAGTCATCGCGTCCTCCCATTTCGATATCAAAGACTCTCCCAGCGAGAACCGCTAAAACGATGCTCTTTGACATCACAAAGCTCGTGTCTCCCTAACCTTTCCCTCTGTCTCCCTCGCTCCCCGCCTGCTCGCCCCGCGCTCTCCCTCCTCCCCCCTTTTCTCTC